TGTAAGTCATAAACTAACGGTAGGACCAGAAAATTTAAGGGTATAGACCGCGCGAAATGCGCAACACCATGGATCCCGTTTGTGTGACGTAGTACTAGCTGTCAGTACTACTAGTACTACCAATAAAACTAGTATTACTAGTAGTAGCAGTACTAGTAGTACTACTAGATTTGACATTTAGACCAGTTTTGGAAGAATTGGAAGAATAAGAAGCATTGTGTCCAACACCTGATTAAGCGTTCTTTTTGTGTCCATAACCTGATTCAAAATAACCACAGAATTACTATATTTATTGAAATTCCGTATTCTTTTAGGACGACTTGACCCCAAGCCGAGGCATTCCAAATCAGCTCAGGTCTTCAATCCTTTTCTAGACTTGCGATAAATTAACGGGAATGAATGACCAATTATGATACTGTTAGATTTTACTGCAGCAAATGTACATGGTGCGCGCCAAAATTGCGTGACAGACCATGCGGTACCAGGCAGTCGTGTGGGTGAATTCTGCGCCACCAATAATCTTCACCTTGCTGTCCCAAAGTGAGACAGTCACCCACTGAGCAAGAGGTCCAAAAATAACTATTTTTGTGCTTCCGACAATATATTACCGTACACTTCGTACAGAACGGTCCCGTAGGTTGATCGTACAGTACGTACGTAAAGGTCTTTTTGTTCGTTCGTACGTACTTCGCTGCGAAGTTCTGTTTGAAAAAAAGCATTCGATTGAATGGGTTCGTCTAGAATTTGCCGATACCAGCTGTACGTACTGGTACGTTGGAGTACGCAGGGGTCTACATTTATGACCCCTGGGAGTACCGGTACGTACGTGCGTACCATCCCACGGAGGTGAAAGTTTATCGGCGACTCAGAGAAGAGACGTACCCGGTAGTACAGTACATTGGGACGTTCATTAGGAATAACATAGGACGAGTACCGTGAGGGTACGACTACTCCATACTGTACTGTGTCCGTACGTACATGAATGTAACTTACGAGGTTTAAAGCTCTTGAAAGAACAGTTTTCGTGACCTTCCTGTTGCTCCTCAAGCTTACTGGTAAGAGTAGTACGTGCGGTATGAAAAAGGGCGAGTTCTCATTGCTTTGTACTGTAGACAGGTGCGCGGAAACAATCTATTTTGAGGGGCCATTCAAATTTGGAAAAGTGAATTATTAGTCGTTTAGAAACACAAGGGGTATTCTTACCTCCTGGAAACGATCAGAATCTATTTCATCCATCTGGAATAAACAAAGTTCAGGAACAGGAGCCGAACCGAACTTGGCGTCTACCCGTCGTCCGTATTTCTTTTACCAGAATTTTTTGGACAAAAACTCCCTCTCAAGACCGGCTGACACAAATTCCGAGAACACGGTCGTTAGCTCTGTTGCGGCGCGGAAACTGGACCTCTCGTGCAGTACTGTAACGAACGAGAGCTCTACGTCTACCCGTAACCCTGCAGGCGAGTAATGAGAAATGCAGAATTTTTCAATGACCTAGTTTTTCGATTTTCCGATGAACGAGATTTTACACCAACAAAAACATCACCGTGATTTTCGTCGTGATTTTGTGCGATATCTAAAATCAGGCTCACTTTTTCAAAAAACCTTTCTCAAGCAACAAGCGCAAGAGCACAACAACCCTGTCTAATACGGTTGCACCAAAGCACATTTCATCTCTCAACCCACACACTCTTGAAAATAATATACAATGAGTTCCATCACCAAAGAAGCAGCAAAAATGATGAGACGGCAAGTCCCCAAGGGTTGCAATACCTGGGCCCGACCTCTCCCTGCCATCAACGTACGTATAATTCTGTCCATGTGGTTGAGTCTGACACGAATTCAACGGTGTTCCCATCCTCTCATTATCAAAAGGGCCTCATCGAGAAGGTGCTGTATGCGAATGGATCGTGACAGTAAGGAAATGGAGAAGACGTCGTGCTTCGTAACTCAATGCTATTTTACGCAAGGCATCGGCATTTTTTTGCTTTCTGATTCCATACCGGATCCAAAAGGCATTGGCATTTTCTCTATCGGTGTCGGCCCTGCGACCGGAATGACCAGACCTATTTTCTTCCTAACTAGTGAACTGAATCGGTGGAAGCTTGATGTGACCTAACAACTGCATCACATCGAACACACCGAAGATTTCTACTCGATGTAAACAGCCTTCTCACATCTGCCCTGTCTTCGTCCGTCATGACCAAAATTACCGCGCATTTTCTTCGTCACCAATCCTATATAGGCCAAGAACAACATGGCCGATTCCACGCCAAACGTCGACCCCAAACACTTTCAACCTCTTGGAACTTGGACCTCGGAAGAACTGAACCAATCCCGAGCAGAGAATCCATTCGCCATGGGATGGGCTCCCAACGCCGCCCGACACGTTGTACCCAACATGACTCACGGCGAAGGTGTGTACTTGTACGATGACGAGGGAAAGAAATACCTCGACTGGACCTCTCAAGCTGTATGCTCCAACCTCGGACACGACTTGCCTGAGAACGTCATTCAAGCCGCAGAATACCAAATGCGATTACTTCCCTACTCTTACGGAGACATTGGCCAATCTGAAGTCAAAACACGCCTCAATCAACTCATGAATGAAATCCTTCCTGGCGATCTAAAGGCAGCGATTTATCMCAGCAGCGGATCTGAAGCGAACGAAGCAGGCATCATGATGGCTCGACGCTACACCGGTCGACAAAAGATTATCAGTTGGTACAGGGGCTACCACGGCGCCACTTCGAACTCGAGTGCCGCCACCGGTGACTCCCGACGCTGGTTCAACCAGGAAGGCCCAGGTTTCATCAAAGCCTTCAACCCCTTTCCTCTTTTCTTCAAGCCCGGCGGGCCACAGGCCACCGAGGCAGAACAGGTCGAAGCAGCACTTGCAATGCTTGAAGAAACTATTCTGAACGAAGGACCAGATAACATCGCATCTATCATGACCGAAAGCATCCAAGGAGCCGGTGGTTGTGTTATCTTCCCAGATGGGTACTTGCAGGGTGTCCGTGCTCTCTGCGACCAGTATGGAATTTTGATGCACGTCGACGAAGTTATGATGGGCTTCGGACGTACCGGAAAAATGTTCGGATTCCAGAACTACCAGGGCGTCATGCCTGATATCGTCACCTGTGCAAAGGGTATTTCTTCCTCCGCCGTCCCTATGTCTATGTTGGCATGTAGCGAGGATATCCTTAACCATTTCGAAAACAAGTCCATGGGATGGGGTAGTACCTACAACGGACACCCGGTTGCGATGGCAGTGTCCTACGAAAGCACCAAATACTTGTTGCAAAACAACATTGTAGGCCGAACAGCAGCGATGGCTCCACTCTTCGAAGCTTGCATGCAGCAGTTGGTCGAGGACCACCCATCGATCAAGCAATACCGAGCAGTTGGGCTTTTCGGTTGTCTCGACGTCCAAGACGTCAACGGCAAGAACCCCAAGTTGCAGCACGAAGCGCCCCACGAGGCCTTCCACAAGTACAAGAAAGCATTCAAGGACGAGGGATTGGTCGGCCTTCACAGATACCCTCACATCCACTGTGCGCCCCCACTATCCATCAGCGAAGAGGAATTGATTGACGGATTCGAACGTCTTGACAGAGCACTCAACGTCCTGGACGAAGCCCTTGGATTCCCACCCCAGGTTACAGACGAGGACAACGCACAGCAGCAAGCCGTATAACACCCCCCCACTCGGCAACTCTATTCTTTTCATCCACTCTCACCTTTCGTCATCATCAAATTACACCAAGAAAATGTTCTGAAAAAGGACTCTGTCGCGTCGAAACTATTGTCTAATGGACCGACCAATTCGACCGAAAGCTACTAGTAATATTTAAGAAAATTATTTTTACCTACCGTACTACCGATACAAGTGTCTACCGAGATGTAGAAAAATGATCGACTGACTGGACTGACTTCAAAATTATTTTCGCTTCGATCGCAAACATCAGAATGTTCAACTCGTCGTCGAATCAGAATAAATCATCATGATTTTCCTTCAAGCGATGACCGTTGAGATTCGAATACGGATTATGGTGACGAATGATGAATCCTCACGATCCTTGAAGCAGAAGGTAATGAGCACAGTAAAGAATTTGGAATGCACCTTCATTATTTCCTTACCGCTACGGCTTGATAACGGTTTCTACGAACGGTATTTAAAAGTATGTAACCGTAATTCAGAGGGCTTAAAAAAGTGATGTCGTGGTGTCAGTTGTCATTGTTTCAAGGTTCTTTGCTTGGTGTGCTGTCATCATTTGCATTATTCCTTTGACTGTAACAGTTAATTCGATATTGCGTAAACCGTAAGAGCCTACCACGCCCTACGGTACAGGGCAAAAAGGCACTCTACTCAAACACCAAAATCACAGTTACGAAGTAATTTTGAAGCCCAGCATTTAGTCCTAGTAGATCTACATAGATCTACTATTTTTTGGTCACTCTTTTGACCACAAACAGCTTAATAAGACAGAACTATTCTGGAATAGCCTCTAATGTCCACCCCTTTGTTGGGGATATGCTTGGTCATACTACTACTAGTACTAGTGTTGGGAGCAGTGCCCTGTGTAATTGTTACACACCAGTTATTTCAAGGGGGGGGGGGCAATTCTCCATGATTAACAGCTAGTATGGCCAAAAATGGTGATTGGAGACTGGCTGCTGGTTAGTAGAAAATAGGCCAGAAGTCTCTTTCAAAAAACAACTCTAGACCACCAGACTAAGCGCCAATATAATTACATAGATCTAGTAGTACTATGTCATTGGGCGGGAAGCCAAATGAAGAAAACATGTTTTACAAAAACCTCCATTCAGATCCAGGACAACATTGGCCTAAAGTTGGTTTTGCCATGGCCACTTAAGTCTCAGGCCCAACACGAATCTCTACGTGAAGTAATTCTCAAAGAGGAAAACCCCAAGGTTATGTTTTGTCAATTTGACATCGGTGACACTGTTTTTGTTGCCTATGAGTATGATGATGCAGCTGGCCAGAAACAAAGTGTTGCTGGATTTGGTAAAGTTACCCAGTATGGAAAATGGGAGCTTGGAACCAACAAAATATGTCCAGCTTATGGTGTTATTTCTGGAAACAATCCAAAACCAGCATGGTGCCCATATGATACTGTGCACCCAAGTGAAAAGAAGAAAACAGTAGCATTCCAAAGACTCCTGTCAGATATCCTCTTGCTGAATAAAGTTGATGTGTCAAAGAAAAGCAGGAAGAGGAAGTGATGTTCCCTTTCCACTTGTACCAATGTAGACAACTGTAACCTTTTATTCCAAATCCAAACATGAACAGCGGTTCATTCAACTCCCACCACCAGTAGATAATCATCATCTTTAGTAACAAACACTCCTGCAAAGTTCAATCAATGTTGTAGACCTAACACCATTACGATATCAATGTTGTTGACATAACACCATTACGATACTACCCACCTCATTGTACCACTTGTTCATCCAAAACCCTCATTGTATCCTAATTGTACGTAGCAGTTTTGTCTCAGTGGTCTTTGGACTACAAATCTGTACTGGGGTAATGTTTAATATGTTAGTCTATGTTGACCTACCTGTCTGCAATAATTTTTGTTCTCCATGATTTGCAAGAATATGAATTTGCCTTTGAGGAATGTGTAATGGAATGATACCAATTTGTTCCTTTGTTTTTATTTTTGCACCTCATAAGTGGCAACAATTTGATTTGGTGGTCATTGTAGTAGCACCCATGCTAGTGGTTGTTCTGTAATTCTGTGAGGTACAAATACACTAGTACTGAACTTATGTGCAATTTGTTGATAAACAATGTTTGTCMCTGTTCAACTCTGTGTGTCATAGCTAGTAACAATGATGTCAAGTTCTTCCCGATTTATTTATAATTGAGTACCTTGATACCAAGTTCTTCCTGATTTATTTATAATTGAGTACCTTGGTAACCTTGATTCCCAAAATATTGTGGAACTTGCTTTGCTTCAGTTCCTACTACTGGTCTTAATGTTTATCCCAAAATACCGTGCTTCACTGCTACTTCTCATTAACACAACACTGGTTTATGCCTTTGCTGTAGTAACAGTGGTTTGTATTGAATAAACTGAATTGTTCCTCTTAATCATAGTTTTGAATTGCAACAATTGATTTTGGGATTACACTGTTACCTAGAGTTGACACAGCAAACAAGCAACAGAAAAGGAGTACTGGCACAGCAAACAAGCAACAGAAAAGGAGTACTAGTAGGCAAAGTCTTTTTCTCTGTCACGTATTAGTACTAGTACTAGTACTAGTACTAATATAACAAATTCTGCAGTGACAATTATTGTTGATCACTGTAACACAAATACTTCTCTGTGATTTGTGTGTCTTGATCATTGTTTTGAATGGACAGGTGTCAACCATTCTTACTCAAAGCTGGCACAGCAAGCAACCAACAAGAGGAACAGAGCAGAAGACAAACTCTCAGTCTGGGGGGCAGCAGTATTAAAATATATGCACTTACATTTGTTGTGAATGTGCCACTGTTTAACATATGTTTCCTAAAACACAGTAACCAAACAACAACAGAAAAAAACAGACTACTACAGAGAAGAAGACAGGCGATCACCAGTCTGGACACACTCTCAGTCTGTGTACCAGCAATATTGCAATTGTGGTACTGAAATATGTTGTGGGTTTCACTATCAAACACTTGTTGTTTCCTACAGAAAAAAATGCATTGTTTCTTTTAATGATAGTTTTGAATAAAATGAGTTTATTGTGGGATAAAATTCTTACTTAGAGTTGGAATAACAAGCCTGATGCAATATCAATGAATCAAATGTAGCGGATTGACGGAAAAAGAATGGTGGGTGCATTTGACATAGTCCAATGTGGGCGCATCATTGTCAAGATCAGAATCAACAACGTTCATTTCTGAATCAATCAGTCATCAATTGACTGCTTCAGCAGATGGGTTATACATCACTTGATGGTCAAGGTTTTATGGCATACCGCTTGCAGGACCCTGATTAGTATTGGTTAATCGAAAACGTCTGCTAACATCCTCCTTGTCCTGAGTGATTTTGTAAAGGAAAGAGCTGAAATGATTGTCACCGTCCACACATAGAGAGTAATTGTCAAAACATATACCACTCTAGGCAAGATGGGTTGTTAGCAGTTTGGCAAATGTAATAGTAGCTCCTGTTTTTCTGTTGCGTTTGGCGCTGTAGAATAGGACGCTGGGTCCTGCAATCTCGGGACCCGTGGCAGTTCTGGCAAAAAACCTTGAGCTTGGGAGGACCCATGATAACTAACAACACATGGGTGACAGAATTAGTGGGTTCTCAGTTCAAAAGTGCTAATTTTCAGGCCCATACCATCAAGTTGGATTGAACTGCTGGTGTTAGATGAGTGCCAAATTGAGAGAACATGTTCCTGAAAAACAGAATAAAAATAGATGTTTGACTAATTAATTCTTCAATGTTAATCTAACAGTAGGACTAGAAAATTTGAGGGTTGCCACTGCCCGAAATGCGCAATATCATGAATCCTGTTTGTGTGACGTACTAGTACTAGTACAAATACTTGTAGTAGTAAAGTCATTGGCATGATAGTACAGTGGAGCAGTTGAAGATTCAAGAAGAAGAGCACCATCCTACTAGGTAGTAACTTGTATCAGCAGTTACCTCTTGAAAATTTCCATTAGTATTACTTGTTACTAATGGAGAACACCTATCACTGCTTACTAGTGTGGGATGCAATGGCCATAACAATAATCCCAGAGGTTGGGGGGGAACAGGAGAAAATACATGTTTCCTCCCCCTTTTCTAAAATCAAAAACTGAACTTCGCTTAACGTACCGGTACCTGAACGAGTACAGGGGTCATAAAGTAGAGGGGTGCGCATCGATTTTCCATGCGCTAAGATTTTGCAACGAAAAATCAAAAATCATATTCCATCCTCGGTCCCAAAATTAAAAAATCAGC